ATATCTGTCCCCTGTTGCTTTTATTCACTGTAAATATTTCTTTCAGTCTGTTCGCCTGATCACTTTGGCAGGAATCTCATTATCAAGCAGGCATCTAATTTTTTAAATGGTTTTTGTATTGGTTTACAATGTCTTTTTGTTTAGACAGGCTCTCACTCTGTGGCCCAGGCTGGAGTGCCATGGTGCGGTCACAACTCATTGCAGCCTCGACCTCCCTGGCTCAAGCAATCCTCCCATCTCAGGCTCCCAAGTGCCTGGGACTTCAGGTGCACACCACCATACCTGGAGTTCTTAATTTTTAGTAGAGTCGAGATCTCACGACGTTGCCCAGGCTGATGTTTATAATCTTAAACTCTGCATTCCTCTTGAGTGTACTTTGTATTAAGCATGGAAGTCTTCGTTACCCTTCCTTTGTCAATTTCTTCGTCAGTCTCCAGTGTGCAGAGGAGTCACTTGTTTAGGCAAAGCAAAGAAATTCCCCCAGAGAAGAAGGCCTGCCAGAAAGCTAATTTCCCTGCCTCTAATTCTCTTTTTCGGCATCCGATTTCCCCTAATCCTGTAGTCCCTAGCCTAGAAAAACTCAGTTCTCCAAAGCCCCTGTGGAAATGTGCAAAACTGTTCAGGAAGCCCTTTCACCTGGCTGAAGAGGGAGACAAGAGCCAGCTCGTGAACCGTGTATCTATTAAGATGGTTCCAGTAAACAGTGCCAGGCTGGAACTTTCTCAAACACACTGGAACTTCTATTTCCACTTACGTTTTTTCTTGACTTCGATTTCTTGCTCACATGTCTGACCCTTTGCCTGAGAACCCCGCCCTCCCTTTGCTTGTCTAAACTCTTTTATCTTTTTTTTTCTTTTTTTTTCTTTTTTTTTTTTTTTTTTTTTTTTTTTTTCTGAGACAGAGTCTCACTCTGTTGCCCAGGCTGGAGTGCAGTATCACCATCAACCTTCACCTCCCAGGTTCAAGCGATTCTCCAGCCTCAGCCTCCTGTGGATTACAGGAGCACACCACCACACCCAGCTAATTTTTTTATATTTTTAGTAGAGACAGGATTTTATCATGTTGATCAGGCTAGTCTCGAACTCATGATCTCGTGTTCTGCCCGCCTTGGCCTCCCAAAGTGCTGGGATTACACGTGTGAGCCAGTGCACCTAGACATCTAAACTCTTCGATCTTTAAAACTCAGCTTGGGTATGAATTCCAGGAAGCCTTCACTGACCTCCCTCCGCCACACCCCCAGGACTAAGTTAATGGAACTCTTCTGTACTCCCCAGTGCCCTGAACATCTCTCTCTCATTAAACTTGCCACATGATGCTGCCGTGGTCATTTGTCCACCAGATGGTAAGCTTTTTGGAAGGGCCTGAATCCTATTCATCTTTGTATTCCTCCCACTTGCATGGGCCCTAACACACGGATTGGCCGGAATAGCCGTTGAATGGATCTAGTGAGCTAACTGCACCCCATCTGCTGCAATTGGCCTTGCTGCCCCAGCTTCGTGGGCTTTAAGGAGGTTTTCACTATAGCAGAGAGAGGCTGGAAGAATTCTCCTCCAAGGGCCAGTTGGTGTGCCTCTCCCTTGGTCTGTCATCCAGGCAGCATATGGGCTAGCCTGTATCCCCAGTGGGACTCTGGGCCAGCAGTTCTGGGTTAGCGTTCCTGGGCCTCTGCTTCAGCAGTAGGGGCGGGGCAACGTGCACAATACATGGCCGGGTGGGGCTCAGGGCACTTTGTGCTGGCTGCAGCCCTGCTGTTCCTGGTTCCGCTATTCAGTGATCAGGATCTGGGAGAACAGGAGAGCAGGATGCAGGCAAATGAGCGGGCGGTGGAACAGCAGAGGGAAGAGCCCTCCCACCCCACCGGCCCTGCAGCCCGCCAAGCTCAAGGCTCGGCTGCCCTCTTGTGCCCGGAGAGCGAAAGACAAGGGAAATAACCCAAAAAACAGGTCTCGGTCTGGTGCCTGGAGCCATCCTGCTGTCTCTGTGCCTCCTTTTCCCAAAGAGCACATCCCAGAGACACATTCAGCAGGATGATCTTCCTTGTCCCCAAGAATGGGCCCCCCTACCCCAGTCACTGCCTGTACCTTCCCTTGGAGGTCTGAGTACCTAGGACCCTTCTCTGGAAGGGAAAAAGGAAGGGCTTGGAAATATGTAAGGGGATTCTCTGGGGCAGTGTGCAGGACAGGCAGACAGGGTGTGGAACAGGCAGGATCAGCTCCTGTCTGCCTGTAGATTCTTCTTTCATAGGTATTTTCTGCTCCAGCTTTGGAGAGCTCTGGTCCAGTGAAAGGGAGACTGCTGGGCTCAGCACCCTTACCCCAGGGGCCCCCCGCTCTCACACCACCATCTGGCTGTGTCAGCCCAGCCCAGCCCAGGTCTGTCCATCCCAGGCACTTGTACGCAGCCCTCTCTCCAGCCCTCTGCCCCAGGTACTCTCCACGGTGTCACGCTGTGACTTTCCTTTTTAGGGCTTCTCCCACACGGAAAGTATCCCCATCTTTATTTTTTTCATTGTCTGCCTTTCCTTCCCTTCCCAACTAGAACAGGAGCAGGGCCTTGTTTGATTAATTCTCATGGCCTCACAATGCAGAACAGGACGACTCTCAGTACATGCTTCCTGATCAAGGTTTCCCAAGCACACTCAACATCCTTCCATGGTGCCCACCTTTGTCACGTGGCTTCTTCCCCCTGAAACACCTTTGACACCCTAGCCCAGTGCCGCCTTCATCTCACTGCCTGCCTGGCAACCTGCTAGTTCCCATTAGTTCAAACTCAGTGTGGGCATATTACCTCTTTGTGAAGACTCCCTTATCTCCCCCAAATTGGGCATTTCTTTCTGTGAGTTCTCACCTTCTAAAAGTTGTTGTCGTTACTGTCTGCAAGCCCAGTAAGGGCAAAAATTGTGTTGTATTTGTCCTCACATTCTTAGTGCCTGGCAGGTGGCAGAGATATATGAATCCTTATTGGCAAACTCCGATTACAGGGGCTCCTAGGGCCACGCCTGAGCTACCTTCTTAGCATTGTCTCCTTCTGCTCTTGCATAGGGACCCCACCCTTGATCCAAATGAAACATCACGTCATTCACCCAGCATCTTCCTAAGCCCCCCGCTAGGATGGAGTTAACACTCAGCCTCTGGTCCCATCTGCTGCAAGCTTCTCCTGATATCCAACTTCTGATCTGACCCCAGCGCTGGGATTCAACCTCATCCATCACTCATGTGGTGGCACCACTGACGGCTCTAACCACCCTCCACTACCTGAATCACCACACACATACATATGCACACACTCACATATGCACACGTAATACACACACATATGAGGATTAGGTCCACCTTCCACCCCTACCAACCTCTGGTGCTCACTGCCTGCTTGGAGCACTGGCCTATTCTATCACACCAGGTGCTCAAAACACTAGTAGTGCCTTCTAGGGACAGTGCCACAACCTTTGTACCTAAGTACAAAGAGAGTGTTCTTGATGTAGCTGATATAGTTTGGGTATTGTCCCCTCCAAATCTCATATTGAAATGTAATCCTCAATGTGAGAGATGGGACCTGTAGCAGTGTTTGAGTCATGGGGCCAAATCCCTCACGAATGGCTTAGTGCCATCCCTGCAACCATGAATGAGCTCTTTCACAAGAGAGCAGATGGTTTAAAGAAGCCTGGCACCTCCTCCTCTCTCTCTTGCTCCCTCTCTTGCCATGTGACATTCCTGTTCCTCTCTTGCCTTCCACCATGATCGTAAGCTTCCTGGAGCCTCACCAGAAGCTGAGCAGATGTTAATGTCTTGCTTGTACAGCCTACAGAACTATGAGCTAAATAAAGTTTTTTTTTTTTTTAATGGACTTACCCAGTCTCAGATATTCCTTTATAGCATTGCAAAATGGACTAACACAGTAGCCAATACATTTGTTCTTTTAGTAATGGGTAAAGGATAAGGTAAAAACTACTGACGTCGGTACTAATGGAGAGAAAGGAGGCAGACGAGGCACATGGGGCAGAATGTGGTCAAGGACTTATGTGTTGCAACTATGTTTAGCGTGAGGACCGGCTCTGGACAAAGGTTCTGACACCGAGCTCAGCACTGAGCTTTACAGACTACCCCACAAATATTTATTGAATGAATCAATCACTTACCTGTCCATCTCCCACACCTGTCAACAGTCACCTCTGGTCCTCTCTGCTGGCTTAGAGCACTGGCCTGTTCTACCACAGCCTTGGTAGTGCCCTCTAGGGATAGTGCCACAATTATATCTAAAGTTCTTTAACTTTTCTTGAAGTTCACCTAACATAGTATGTTATTTCTTCTCCAGGTCTCGGCATGTGAGAATTCCTGCCATGAGAATCCACCCCGCAACCCCATTTCTTCATGTGGCTTACCCTTAAATATCCTTTACATCTCACCAATGTGCTGCTGCTTCCCTCAAAAAGTGTCTCCCCAAGTACCTCCTCTCTGCCTCAAACTGAGTTAGATGGTTTGTGCTGAACCAAGAAAGAAGACAGCTTCTCCGGCTCTCTTTAGAACTGCTCATTTCATGAATATAAATAGCCAAAACTCTGACATACCACATCACACACATAATTATTTACTAAGTGCACTCCTATTATATCTTTGGGGTCTTATGATAACCCTGGGGACAGAGGTATTATTATTTCTATTTCTTTCTTTCTTTTCTTTTGTCTTTTTTTTTTTTTTTTTTTTTTTTTTTGAGACAGAGTCTTGCTCTGTTGCCCAGGCTGGAGTGCAGTGGTGCAATCTTAGTTCACTGCAACCTCCACCCCCGGGTTCAAGCAATTCTCCTGCCTCAGCCTCCCAAGTAGCTGGGATTACAGGCATGAACCACTGCATCTAGCTAATTTTTGTGTTTTTGTAGAGATGGGGTTTCACCATGTTGGCCAGGCTGGTCTCGAACTCCTGACCTCAGGTTATCCAACGACATCAGCCTCTCAAAGTGCTGGGACTACAGGCATGAGCCACCACACCCAGCAATTATTTCCATTTTCGAGATGAGAAACTGAGGCTCTGAGATGTTAATAACCCACTAAAGGTCACAGAGCAAATAAGTCAGAGAGCCAAAGAGGAAAATCCATATCTCTTGATGCGGACACCTGTGCTCTTCTCATTTCATGGGGTGGGGCTGCAGTATTAGACGGAGGTGCTGAATGGGCTCAGAAATTGTGTGGTGACAAATTGCCTAAGCTAGGAGATCATGGGGGGGCTCCCCACTCTTCTCTATGCAATCCTGTAGAGCCCTTGAAATGAGAAGAAGCACAGCTTTATTTCTCTGGTCCAGTTCTTTCTCCTCCTCCCTGGGCCATTAGTGGAGCATATTATAAACCCCTCTGTTTGAGATCAACATTCTTATTTACCTGGCAATCATGTATAATAAGACTCTAAAAGCATTTGCTGGTAAGGGTTCTAAATATAACTGACTAAATGGGGAGGAAAGCAAATGAGGTAGCAGAATGGCGGCTGAAAATCCTGCCCCCGTGTGCCCCCAGCTCCTCCCGAGCCCGCTGCACCAGTCTCTTCGCTGGTCCACAGAGAACATCCCCGGGTCATCTGAGCAGTTGTGGAAGTGGCTCTCAGCTGTCTGTTGAGCCTTCTCCAGCTTCTCAAACTCCAAGCCTGTCTCCTGCAGGGCCGCATGCAGAAATTATTCTCCAGGGTCAGTGCAGAGAACCTTCCATCCCCCGCCATGTAGAAGCTGGTCTCAAAGCCTCTGCTTGCAGCATACAGCCCCTGAGTTGAAGCAGGGTCCAAGGTGGCACAAGGCATCTTGGCATGTGCCCAGGGTGGAGTGGGCAGCCTACAAACGCAGGGAGAAAAGGAGGCAGCCGGCCAGGGGCAGGACTGCAGGTTTCAGAAGTCATTCTTTCCAAATGTCACATGTAAGCACAGCTGAGTAGGTTTCCTTAACCACTCCTCCTTTTCAGCCCACTTCTCTCTGGAAAGAAGGAAATGAAGAGTGGCCAGTTGGGTCATGCTCACCTTGTGAGACACATAGATCACTACTGGTCATTCTCTGCATCTTACACACACTTGCAGGATATCGAAATATTCTAACCCTAATCCTAACTGTAACCCTAACCCTAACCTATACACAACTCACAGGATATCAGAATATTCTAACCCTAAATATAACCATAATCCTAACCCCAACCCTTAAACACACTCACAGAATTTCAGAATTTCAGAATCAGGTCACCCGTTTTACAGATGAAGACACCAAGTCCTGGAGACGCAGTTGTGACATCTGCTATTGGCAAGGGCACGCCTAGGGCCCGCCGACCCTGCGGTCAGTGCTCTTTCCACTTGCCAGCTCTCGCTCTGCCATGTGCTCCTGACAATCAGCCCATGCTTTCTCTGCCTGGTCCATGGCTTAAAACAAGTCAGGCAAGTGCAAAGGGAAATGGAGAATCTGCCAGGAACCAGCAAAGCAAAACTGTTAATACAAAGCGAGCTTAGCAGACTTTGTTGAGGACATCCAGTACCTCCATCATCTTTTCCCTCCCAGTGTCCCCGGCCACACACTCCACGCAGTTGTCACACACATTCTCTTCTTAAACACCTACTATAGGCTATGAGGCTCATTCATACTGAGATATGAATAAGGACTAGCACTTAAAGGGTCACTCTTTACAGCTCTTCTATAGTATATTACAAATGTCATTGTCTTAAGCAAAAGGAATAAGACTCTAATGAACAACTGCAACCTTCTTACTTAACTAGGGCATGTGGTATTTGGGAAGTGAAGATGCTATGGTGGACTTCCCTGGTGTCCTGAAATTACGCAAGGTAAGTAAATTCTATCCTGCCTGGAAATTAGATTGCTCTTAGTTCCATTACTAATTCCAACCTGAGCAATGGCCTTCTCTGTGTTTCCTTGTTCCCAGGAGTGAAAGGTCATCTCAGGAGACCCACAGAAAGGTTCCAGAGGTTTGGAGTCAAAAGCCTGGAGGCTTCAATTGGAACAACAAGAACACTGACCAGTCAGAATGGTTGCCAGCCATTGAAAGCCAGTTGATGGCCATCCTGCCTACTATACATATTCTTGGGTTAGACCCTGGCATTTCAGTTTCTTTCTGGCTCCAGGCTTGTCTCTAGCCGTCTATTTCAGTTCCCTCCTTCGGGTTTTATAGAACTCACTCTTCCTTTCTTTTTCCTGCGGTTCCACTGATGTCCCACCTTTCTTGCCATTTCTACATGAGTCCCACAGAAAATTCTTGGTTCAGCAAGCCAAGCAAAGCTCTGGCACCCTCAAGGTGCAAAAGCAAACACCAGACTCCTTACGTAATCCCTTCAAGTTCATGTACATATTTTACCACTGGAGGCTAGTCAAATGACTGCAGCCTCTGTCTCAGCTAACTTTTCAGCTCCAGGACATTCTTGTCGATATTGTTGGAGGCGATGGTCTCCTAGACAGACTCACAGCCAGGAAGGAGCTAATAACGGTGGCCCCAGGGCCCTTGCCAATTAGTCACTTTCCTAATTAGTCCACCTGTTTTAGAAAAAGAATATTTCTAAATCGTCAGTACCAAAGCATGCCTCCAAAGTCCACGTTTCCCAAAAGGATCTACTTTCTTTAAACTTCTTAGAGAGACATGCTTGTTTGGAGTGTAGAGAGTCAACCACTTGGGAATGTACCCTCTAAGATCTGAAATTGTATCTGCACTAACAGCCTTAGGCACCACTGAGCACAGTCCCCAGCACTGAGCAGGGATGATTTGGTAGGAGGGGAGTGTTAGGAGCAGGAAGTCACTGAGGGGTGAGGTGGCAACTAGGAGAGAACCAGCTATGCCACTTCAACTGCCATTCGACCACTGTAAATAAACTGTTCAGAGATACCTGGTCACATTCATGAGGACATTGGCTCTCCTCTTCCAAGTGTTCTTCACTGAAGTGCTCTATGGCCCCACTGAGACCATCTGTAACATGGTCTCAAACTTTTTTTCTTTTTTAAAAAGTCTCGCTCTGTCACCCAAGCTGGAGTGCAGTGGCACAATCTCAGCTCACTGCAACCTCCGACTCCGAGTTCAAGTGATTCTTCTGCCTCAGCCCCCTAAGTAGCTGGGATTACAAGCGCATGCCACCACACCCAGCTGATTTTTGTATTTTTAGTAGAGATAGGGTTTCACCATATTGGCCAGGGTGTTCTCGAACTCCTCACCTCAGGTGATCTGCCAACCTCAACCTCCCAAAGCGCTGGGATTACAGATGTGAGCCACTGGACCTGGCCTCAAACATTTATTAAGCACCAACTATATTCTAAGAATTTTGCTTGGCAGCATGGGGACTCAAATGAGAATACAGGGTCTATGCACAGAACCCTTGGTCTCTTATTCCTATCTTGCCTTCTCTCCAGCTAGGAGAGACTGGGATGACACAAAATATCAATAACGTTTGGACAAGGGGCTTCCAAAATGAACAAGGCAGTGAAGAGAGAAAACTAGCTTCACCTGTTATAATTCCTCCTCTGGCCCAGCCTCTAACCTTCTATTCAGCAAGAAGCACCTCTCACCATCCACCTAAGCTGGAATCTTTCACCCTCTTATCCCTGAGCTATAACTGGTCTTCAAACATCTTCAGATGGCAAAGCACCTGGAAGTCTTGGTCCTTTTTGTAGAACAACAGGAAACAGTCATCTCTTTAATTCTAACACACAAATTATGAACAATTTTGCCAGGAGGAAACATGCCACATGACAGTAGTCAGGTCCATAGGCGATATAAAATCAGAGGCACATACCTGCAGATCCAGGAAAGCACCAGCTCTTGAACTTAGCATGCTCCTTCCCTCCTGGGTTTGGCCGCTACTCTTCATTTGCTCCCTGCTCATTTGTTTTATCCATAGGGCACAGTGGCAGATAGGTTGAGGTAGGCACCAGAGATTAAAGGAAAGTTTATGGCAGAAAAATTTTACCTGGGAAAAGTCTATCTAGTGGGTTATGTTATTTTTTCTTATGTTAATTATGGAAAACATACCCACTATTTGATTGTAATGGTCTAACCTGGCTAGTACCATGGTTACCCCAGGAGCAAATCTGAAAGCCACCCACAGTGCTGTTCTCATGAGCCACCATGGTGATGGGTGATGGGCAGAGCAGCCTAGGCCACCTACCAGTGGAGGGTGGCTTCCTATTTTCTGATGCCCTCAAAGCTTCACTCAGGACCATCAAAGATACAGTTCTTGGATTTTATAGGGGGCAGGAAATCTCAACCTCAGAAACCTCAGAGACTTTGAGAGCCTCCCATCATAGACCATGTATCAAGTGTAACTAACATTTTCCCATATGGCAGTTCCACACATTCTGAAGGTTCAAAGTGCCTGTCAGTGACCTGGTGGCTCTCACCGCCTCCCTCCCTAACCCTGTCCCAGGGTTGAAGGAGATCAGCACCTGACTGAAAGTCTTCACAGCTACCCTGACCGCCCACAGACCTCCTGCAAGGTTGAAGGAGAGCAGCATCTGCCTTAAATATGTCACTGTAGTCCTTCTGCAGGAAATGGAGGAATCCATTTCCCAAAAGATTCCGGCCGGATTTGAAGTAGTCCAGGTGAGCTATGGGCTCACAATCTGCCCAAACAACGGCAGGTGCCATGGGTTCCTGAAGAATCATGGAGGGCAGTGAGTCTGTGCAGGAAGGAGCAAACCATCTGATCCCCTGAACCCTCCTTAAATGAGTTCGGACTCCGTAACCATCCCCCAACCCCAGCTCCATCTCTAGACATTTGGGTGAAGAACTGAACAGCCAATGAAGGAAGTTTCCTAAACCTTCCTCTCCCAGGTATTCATCTCTGTCCCCACCACCTCCCCTTCCTTCCAGTTCCTTCTGTGCACAAACGCCCCCCTCAGCCAGACCCCAGGCTTTTCAGCAGCTCAGGGTTTCCAGTCTCTTCTGCTCCACTGTACTGGACTCTCTTCTACAGTGGGTTTTAAAGTAGCACCTCTAATTAATGTTTAAACAAAATCTCCTGTGAACCCCCCATGAGGTGTGAGATACTAGGATGGTCTTCACTGGGTTTTAGTCTTTAGTGTTTTCAGCTCCCAAACACAACACCCTGGTTTCTGTCCCAGACCACTGAGTAAATGCTGATAATTCGTAAATTAGGGAACACAAGAAGAAGAACAGGTTTCGATGAGGGTGAAGAGGATGACATGACGAGAAGTAAGGAGTTTCGTTTGGAGCACGCTTGGCTTGAGGCTGAAACATTGAATCTAGCCCAGATGCAGGTTGAAAACACAGAGAGACCTGAGCCAGAGCCACAGATGCAGTGGGATAAGTGTGCAAGAAGCATCTGCTCTCTTAACTGCACTGAATTACTTCTTCAAGTCCCCATTCAAATGGGTAGAAGACATTAAATCTCAGTCATTTAGAGGCTGCCATCACTGGGGTTGGGGTGGGTGGTACTTGGTGCCAGACACAAGGGCCAACTTGTGTCCCTACTACTGGTACCTACTGAAAGTATATATATATATATATATATATATATATATATATATATATATTCTCCCAACCCCCACCCCCCAGCGAAAGTATATTGTATAATTTGGTTCAAGATCACAGATTTTAAAAGGTTGCAACATCCCCTTTACCCAATCTCAATGTCTTTCTGCCTTTAAAAAAAAAAAGTTTCCCTTTCTCTTCTATTCCCATTCTCTGCTTTTAGAGACTGAGTTGTGCCTTCCTCCCTGTCCCTTATCAAAATCCGTAAGTTGAACCGCTTGGCCCCAATGTGACTACTGTATTTGGAGATAGAGCCTTTGCAAAGGTAATTAGGGGCCAGGCATGGTGGCTCAAGTCTGTAATCACAGGACTTTGGAAGGCCAAGGCAGGTGGATCACTTGAGGTTAAGAGTTTGAGACCAGCCTGGCCAACATGGTAAAACTCTGTCTCTACTAAAAAACTACAAAAATTAGCAGGATGTGGCAGTGCACACTTATAATCCCAGCTACTCGGGAGGCGGAGAGGGGAGAATCACTTGAACCCCAGAGGCAGAGGTTGCAGTGGGCCAAGATTGCGCTACTGCACTCCAGCCTGGGCAAGACTGAGACCAAAAAAAAAGAGAACTAAACAAAAAGGTAACTAGGGTTATATTAGGTCATAGAATAGGGCCTTAATCCAGTAGGACTGCTGTCCTTATCAGAAGAAGGAAACACACACAGAGAAAAGGACATAGGAGGACATGCTGAGAAGGTGGCTATCTGCAAGCCAAGGAGAGAAGCCTTGCTAGAAACTAACCCTGCTAGCACCTTGATCTTGGACTTCCAGCCTTTAGAAGAGCAAGATAATAAATTTCTGCTGTTGAAGCCACCCGGTCTGTGGTCTTTTGTTATGGCAACACTGGCCAATTCATACACCCACTTGGGAGTAAGGGAAGTCACTCTCTGCTTACAATGCTCTGGGCTATGAAACAACCGTCAAAGCTCTGCTTCTGCTCCAGCACCATGTTGAGAATAGAGATGAGTCTGGAGTCTTGACACTTTCTAGACCATACCTAGGGAAAGGGCACAGGTTTCCTCTGTTATGTTCCTAAGTAAATGAGACTATAGAAGATATTAAAATGTAATTAATAATTCAAATTTAGTTAATTCACATAGTGAAAGCTCTAATCTAAAAATAAAAGATGGACACTTCCTTTTCAAAGTACCCGTGCAATATTCACAAAAGCTGAGTATATAAAAAGCCACAGAGAAACTGTTTAAACTCTCAAGAAGTAGAAGTAATACAAACTATTCTCTGATCAAATAGCAGCAAAATAAATATTTATTACAGAAACAAAAGATTCTACCATGCAGAAATTTAAAATATTTTTCTTAAACATTTTTGGATCAAAGAAGAGACCAAAAAATTGAAAACTATCTAGCACTTTTTAAACTGTACACATAATAACCTATAGGGCACAAGGGAAAGGAAAATCTATGACCTTATTTTTCTTATATTAATAAACAGAAGAAAATTAATACATGCATTAAGCATTTAAATCAAGACGTTAAAAAAAGAATAAGTATATTTAAATAACATGCAAGGACAAAATTAATAAAGATAAAAGCCGACACTAGTAAATGAATAAAGCAATGAGCACAGAAGCCAGATTGTAGTGATGGAGTCAGCTGGAGGTGAGAGGGTGGTGAGGAAGTGCAGACAGAAAATGCAAACAACACCTCTGAAAGCTTGGCTGTGAAAGGGAAGAAAGACAGGGCAATGGCTAGAAGTGGATAAGCCTCTGACAGAGAAACACTAAATATTTTGACAGTGGAGGAAAGGCAAGGACGGATGCCAATAAACGTCAAATTTATAAGGGATGTGTAGAAAACTGAGCGTTCAGCTGAAAATGTTGTTTTTCCTGAAAATAATGCATAGGGAGGTGTGGGTGTTTGAGATTCAGACAAGAACCCTATGGAAATGGAAAGCAAAAACTAGGGAAATACAGAATTCTTAGGGATTGCTGAAGACCCAGATAACTTGGCAGGAGCTCAGTCTGCCCAGAAGTTGGATTTTCTGCAGTGTGCTGAGGTATCTTGGTGCTGAAGAGAACACATTGGATTGAGGTAAGGTTGAGATTTTCCTGGCAAGTAGAACAGAGGTTAAATGGGCAAGAAAGATAGAAGAGAAAGCCATCAGTGCATTTATCCAAAATATATTCATTAAGCACCTCTTATGTAAGATAATGGGTTGCTGTCTAAGAGCACAGAGTCTGGAGCTAAACTACCTAGATTCAAAATCTGGCTTTGGCACTTAGAAAATATGTGTCCGTGGACAAGTTATTTGGGCTCTTTTACCCCCAGTTTTTTTTTTTTAATGTGTGAAAACATAAGGACAATAATCTACTTCTTAGAGTTGATGAAAAGATTAAGTGAACTAATTCAAATTTAAAAATCAGAACAGAAATTTGTCTTCTGGCCATGACAGAGTAACAGTTACTAGAATTGCCTCTCACCATAAACAACTACAAAATTGGACAAAACCCATGACACAACGCCTCTGAAAGCTTGCCTGTGAAAGGGAGCCTGCTTTCAGATTCCCGGGTGGCATCCCCACAAATTCTGATGCAGGAGGTCTAAGGCAGGGAACCAGCTTTGAGTACATTTTTTAACAGTCATGAGGTTGGTTGCACAGCTGGTCTGGGAACCACGGTAAGTCCCATGTATGGAGGCTGACCCTCTCCTAACAAGCTCCAGAGGATGCAAGATAAAGAGGGAACTTTCTGAACAACTGGGAGGACTGTATAGACGCTCTGCCCAGCTGGGAGAGGCTGGGAAAGGGACTAAAACAAGAAGTACAGTGAGCTCATCTGTGAGGTTCCCATCAGCTGTCATACGAGGGACCTTGTAAGAGGAAACAAGGCCACTGTTGATCTGGTAGCTCCCAAATGTCTCAGAAAATTCAGCGACGTCACCACTCCACTGGCCTAAAGCTGGGTTAAGCAGATGACTCTCCTCCACAGGGTATCTTCCGATCATTTCCTCCTTTCACTCCTACGACCCAGCCCCATTTCAGGCCCTCATCATCTCATAACTGAATCGTTAATAATCATCCCTCCTTCCTACAACAAGTTAACAGCATGGGGAAAATGAAATTTAAGAGAAATAACAAATCGATGCAGCGTGTGGGTCTGACTTGGCTCCTAATTCAAATATATCAACTTTAAAAAGTTAACTTGGGAGCAATCAGGAAAATCTGAACATAGACTGAGTGAGGATACGGAGGAATCATTCCTAATGTTGGAAAGATATGGATGGCACTGACGTTAAATGAGAAAAATTCATTTAAAAAAAAGGCATAAATTGGAGTATGTAGTGGTGAAACAACGTGATGTCTGGGATTTTCTTTAAAATATTTCAACAGAAAAAAGAGAAATGAAAGACAAAAAAGGAACAATAGAAAGAGGAATAGATGAAGCAAGTGTGGCAAAATCTTGACAATGTTGCATCTGGGTGATGGGTATTATGCAGAGTGCATCATATTATTCTAATTTTGTGTATATTTGAAGTTTTAAAAAATATTTTTAACAAAGAACTAGTGTCTGGCATGATACACAATAAGTATTAAGTAGGCATCGGTATTTGTAGTCACAGCAATTGTATGGCAAGCACATTTCATAATGCCAAGGGTATGGTGGCAGACAAAGCCAATATAGCCCTGACTCTCACAGGGCCCACATGCAGGGGACTAGGACATGAACCGTGACAAGTACACAAATAAAGAAGATAATATCAAACAGTGGTAAATGCTAGGGAAAACAAACTTTATGTAATTTTTTTTTTTTTTTAAACCGAGTTTCATTCTGTCTCCTACACTGGAGTGCAGTGGCACAATCTTAGCTCACTGCAACCTCTGCCACCTGGGTTCAAGCGATTTTCCTGCCTCAGCCTCCTGAGTAGCTAGAATTACAGGTGTGCACCACCACACCCAGCTAATTTTTGTATTTTTGGTAGAGATGAGGTTTCACTATGTTGGTCAGGCTGGTCTCAAACTCCTGACCTCAGGTGATCTGCCCACCTTGGTCTCCCAAAGTGCTGGGATTACAGGTGTGAGCCATGCACCCAGCTGAAAACAAACTTTAGATGGGATGGTGTCTGTCTATTTTCTCTTGTTATAACTAAATACCACAGAGTGGGTATTTTTCAAAAAATAGAAGTTTGTTCAGCTCATGGTTCTGGAGGCTGGGAAGTCCAAGGGCATGGCACCAGCATCTGGTGTGGGCCTTTGTGCTGTGTCATGACATGGTGGGAGGAATCACGTGGCAAGAAGGAGTAAGCAAGCCAGAGATAGCTCATTTTTCTAACAAAGCCACTATCAAGGTAAGAAACCTACATTCATGATAGTATTAATCCATTCATGAAGGCAGAAGAATTAAGTTTCCAACACATAAACTTCTGGGGGACACATTCAAACCATAGCAGATGGTCAGGTAAGACCCCACTGGAGGCAATATTTGAGCTGAGACCCAAATTCTATGTGAAGGAGGTAGCCATGCAAAGATATGGAGTGGGATTGGGGGTGGGGGTGGGCAGAGAGCTCTTGGCAGTGGGAACAGCGCATTCAAAGGTCTGTTCTGGAAACAAATGAATCAGAGTGAGGCTGGGTATAGAGGTGGGAAGAGGGTGGAAGAAGATGCTCAGGAAGGTAGACAGTGGCAAGTTTATTTAGAGCCTTTACTGGCAGTAAGAAGAGCAAGATAGCTGGTTAGAAAGACAGAGCCCCATGGTAGGCATGAATAAAACATTTAGGAAAACTCTTGTCTGCAACAACTTAAAAGGTAGACCAAGCCAAGTATATACTAAGCCTATAGCTCTAAGGCAAACGGCGAGGTGGGATGGGGGACACAATATTAGTATGTGTTGATTGCTCCTCAGTGTTGTAGCAAGATATTACTATGAAGAAATATGTTCAGGTAATAACTGACAGTTTCTCAAGAAGAAATAAATGCAAGTAGGAGGAATCCAAAAATTGAGGTTTTCTTGGATATAGGAAAGCTAACTGCTTCTGAATCCTAAATTACAGTAATAAAACTGGAAAAGGCTTCAAGCCTTAAATATGAGACCAACAAACACATGAAAAAATGCTCATCATCACTGGTCATTAGAGAAATGCAAATCAAAACCACACTGAGATACCACCTGATGCCAATTCGAATGGCGATCATTAAAAAATCTGGAGACAACAACAGATGCTGGAGAGGATGTGGAGAAATAGGAACACTTTTACACTGTTGGTGGGAGTGTAAATTAGCTCAACCATTGTGGAAGACAGTGTGGCGATTCCTCAAGGATCTAGAAATAGGAATTCCATTTGACCCAGCAATCCCATTACTGGGTATATACCCAAAGGATTATAAATCATTCTATTATAAAGACACATGCACACGTATGTTCATAGTGGCACTGTGTACTATAGCAAAGACCTAGAACCAACCCAAATGCCCATCAATGGTAGACTGGACAAGGAAACTGTGGCACATATGCACCATGGAATACTACGCAGCCATAAAAAACGATGAGTTCATGGCCTTTATAGGGACTTAGATGAATCTGGAAACCATCATTCTGAGCAAACTGACACAGGAACAGACAACCAAACACCGCACATTCTCACTCATAGGTGGGTGTTGAATGATAAGAGCATGTGGACTCAGGGAGAGGAGCATCGCACCCTGGGGTCTGTTGGGGCGGGTCTAGGGGAGGGACAGCGGTGGAGGGGAGAGTGGGGAGGGATAATGTGGGGAGAAATGCCGAATATAGATGAAGGGGGAATGGAGGCAGCAAACCACCTCGTTATGTACTTACCTATGCAAAAACCCTGCATTATCTGCACATGTATTCCAGCACCTAAAGTACAATAAAAAAAAAAAAAAGAAAGAAAAAAATGATCTTACAGAGACTCAGTACTATGACAAATATCAGATTGAAGGTGTGGCTTTTCCCACTGAAGCTGACTCTCAGATGACCTCAAGGTAGCCACCAGGAAGTTCACAAGGAGACTTGGAGGTACCGAAGAAAAATAATAATAACAGGTCGGACAATTCGGATGAGGAAAGAACTTCAGTCATGGTTGATGAGTTACTGGCGTAAGAAATCGATGGGAAGCAAATACAGCCAAAGGCTATTTTTTGATAGAGGGAATTGCCAAAAGTCCATGAACCTGGCCTGACAATGTCTTTGACTCTTGGAGCTTAAAACCACAGTCTCCCAGACTTGCACAAGCAGGCATTGGGCTGGTCCTGAAAGCCATCCAGTCTCAAAGCAGACTCAATCGCAGGACTCACTTCCAGTGCGGCCAGGGCAGGTAACAGTTAAGGAATAATCTCCCAGAGACACACCCTAAAAGCAACAGAAATAGAGGAGAAATCAGGGTGAGGAGAATGTAGCTAGACAAAGTAAGAGTGTCAAAGAACCTTTCAGAGACTGTCTAATATGCAGAGCTCCAGCAGAAAAAGATGATTGGGTCAGCCAATGAGATTGAGTAGCAGCAGCCAGTGAGGGAGGAGAAACCAGAAGTGTTTCCAAAAGGAGCAAGTCAGTTATGTAGAAAGCTGTTGGAAGATCAAGGAAGATAAAGCCAGCTGTGATATTGTGAAACACATATTTGGTCTTCGTCCCTGTCTCTTGGCGTACAACTCCTAAAATCCTTGAAATCTTCAAAGCGATTTTATGTTTGAAAAAATGTCTCTTCATATGCGAATGAATTTGCGGGGTGGGGGGCGTTGGCAGCCAATAGGCAGCTTCGGGATGGGGGCTGGGTGCTGGAAAGGCCAAGGCAGGATGAGAGGGTTGGTACTCTCAGCTTCACCCCTGAAACATCCAGGGAGGGGAGAGGGGCTGAAGGATGAGTTAATCTCCAATGGTCAGTGACTAAATCAATCATGCCTACACAATGAAGCATCCATAAAAACCCAAAAGGACAGGGTTCAGAGAGCTTCCAGACAGCTAAATCTTTGGAGGTTCCCGGAGGGCAGCGCACCCAGGGAGGGCATGGAAGCTCCAAGCCCCTTCCCATTCCTCGCCCTCTGCATCTCTCTGCATCTCTTCAACTGTATCCTTTCTAAAATCCTTTATAGTTAATAGGTAAATGTAGATACTTCTCTGATTTCTGTGCCACTCTAGCAGATTAATCAAATCCAATGAGTAGGTTGTGGGAACCCTGATATATATATATATCATCAGTCATCAGAAGCACAGGTCAAACAACCTGGAGCTTGAGATTGGCACTGGGAGTGGGAGGCGGTCTTGTGAGACTGAACCTTAAACGTAGGGTCTTCTGCTATCTCCAGGTAGGTGGTGTTGGAACTGAATTGAGTTAGAGGGCACCTAGCTGGGGTCAGCTGCTGGAGGAGTGCTTGCTTGCTCTGTGGGGAGGAGCCCTAAACATTAGGTGTCAGGAGCTGTGTGTGACTATTTTGTGAGAGGATGGCAGGAAGAAACTGAGTCTGTTAATCGCCTATTTTCAGACCAGCAAAGAAACCATTGCAAGGTGGAACCACTGGTGAACTTGAAAAGATTATTTTAAAGGAATAGCAGAGATAAAACTCAAACTGGCAACTGTCGTAAATAAAAGGATGGAGAACAGTGTCTGCAGACAGCTCTCTAGAATTTTGCCCTCCCAAGGAAAAGAGCAATATGGGTGGAAGCTAAAGGGGGACATGGGTTCAAGGAAAGGCTTGCTAAAATGGGAGGTGTTCTCTGCTGAGGTGAATAATCAGGAAGAGATGGGGAAATGGACGTAGCAAAGAGAAGACAAGGGCAGGAGCAAAGAGCTTGGGAAAACTGAGAGGACACGGCCCGAGCCCAGGTCAGGAGGAGCCCATTTCAATAGGAGGACGGACACATAGTCCATTCAAAACAGCAAGCCCATGTTACTCTGGGTCTCACCTTATCAGGCTTGTCGGTGGCAGGGGTTAAAGACAGGCCCTGTCTGCTGAAGGCAGGCAGAGAACCGGGCAGGAAGGCATGACATGGGATACCCATGCTACTGCCTGTGAAACAGATGATCTAATGGTATCCTGTTCTTGGTGTAACCAAAATGCAGGTTCAGCTGCTTGCCACGTGTACAGTCCAATTAACAGGAGGTCTGGTATAAAGAAAGTGACTTTAGTCCAAAGTGTAGCTTAGGGGAGGAAGTCCGGGCTTCTGCATTTAAGGCTAGCACTTCACTTTTGGGGCAGAAAGTCGGGGCTTTTAAATGGAGACTTGGCATGAACGGCACACAGGGGAGGGAGCCAGCAGGTATGGGGGCCACGTGATTTGTGCGTTATCTACCAGGTGGTTGGGCTGGTGCCATCATGGGCAGAGCTGGGTTATAAAGTGATCATGGTTATAAAGTGGTTGTGGTCTTGAGATGCTCTTCGGGTGGGGAAGCGTTTTGTAGCTGGCACACTTCTGGTCTTGAGATACTGTTCAGGTGGGAAAGCGTTTTATAGCAGGCACACTTCAGGTTGTAAATTGACTGCTGTCTCTCGAGGCAAGCTCCTGGTAGGAGAGAGATCCACTCTGGAGCTGCTAACTATACACGCAGTTAGCTAAGCTTGCCCTGCAGGGAGTGTCTGGTGAAGGGAAGGTAAAGGTTAAAATCAGTTCTAAAGAGCCAAGTAGGAAGCAGGGAACAGGGGAAAGGAGAAAAGAGAAAAGAAAAGAATCGTAATTGTAAAAATTAACTTTTTTTTTCTCTTAAGACAAATGGGGCTAATCAGTTACATTGGTGCTTGTTTTCTTTTGTCGTCCTTGAGACTTCAGAGAAATCAATTTAAATGTCGCAGGCTGTGCCATAGAGAATTCAGGTAAAGGGCAAGTACCCGTGTTTGTGAAGGGGGTGAAGGAGGAATGCTAATTGGAGGATTTCTGAGAGTAAGGTGAGTATCCGTCAGGTTGAGCTGATGAGGGCTGGTGTCCCCACCCCCCCTGTCATTTGTGACTCCCTCCTTCCCAGATGGGGAGTTATTAGGGAAGACCTCTCCCTTACCTGGTCCATCAGACGAACCGTCAGGATGCACTGCCTCTTTCTCTCCAGCTCGTGTCGCTAGAAGCTCACTTTACGCTGAAGACCACATGGGTCAGCGTGGAGGGGAAAGCAAAGTGAAATGCTGCTGTTTTCAAAAAGTGCTGACAGGTGATCGGGAGCCAGGGGTGTGTTTTTCTCCGACGATTTTCACAGTTGGCCAGAGTCCTAGAGTCCTAGAATCCTAGAAATTTCCTGGTGGAGGTGTTTTCCAAACCACTTAGTTGCATCCACTTGAGAAGGCTGGAGGTGCCGAGAGGCAAGGAGAGAGACAAGATGACCTATCCTCAGATCACTTCCAATCAAATCATCTGTAGACCCAGAGTCCGCGGTTGGCTGGTCAACTAGTTCTGAGAGCTAGAAGTGGGGTGTGGAGGGTTTGGGACAGGCACCAGGCTTACTCACTGTATTAAAAGAGCAGTTCGACAGAAAACCAAATACCGACCACGTGGTCTTACTTTTAAGTGGGAGCTGAACAATGAGAACACATGGACACGTGGCAGGGAACAACACACACTGGGACCTGTGCTGGGTTGGTGGGTGTAGATGGGAGAGTGTCAGGAGGAATGGCCGATGCATGCTGGGCTTACCACCTAGGCGAAGAGATGATCTGTGCGGGAAACCACCACGTGTAATAAACCTGTACATCCTGCGCATGTACCTCTGAACGTAAAAGTTGAAGATAAGAAATAAAAAATTTTAAAAGGGCAGTTGGATTTAAAGGCAGGAGCTGACTTCTGCGACCCACCATGATGGGTTTTCTAGGCTCTCGGAAGGTTGAGGACCTCAGGAAGTAAGAGTTTGTCCCATTGCCCTGCAGCCTCTTAGTGTCATGTCCCAGGGTCTCAGTGAATCAGCCCTAGGGGCACTCTGGGCTCCTTCTGCAAACCCTTCCAGGCCTGACTGCTTCTTTCTCAGTCACGAAGCTTTCGAGGAGCTGAATTCCATCTGAGGTTGATCTTTCCTCATGCAAGATGAGGCTTCATGCATCCCCGGGGTTAGGGCTGACTGACAGCAGCTTCCCATTCAGGTTTTTAGGGGTGGGAGGAGTTAGACTTGATATGTCAAGTTGGTGGGTGGGAGAAGAAAAGTCAAGATTGAAATATTGACTCAAGAAAACTTCTGGAAAGCCCAGCTGAACACCGCGCCCCAACCTCGAGTAGTTAAAGTGTTCTTTCTCTGACACAAATCTGGACCACATCCCCTCCTTACTCAGCCCTACCCTGACCTGGGATAGCAGGGGACCCAAAGGAACCAAGGCAGGGTTTTTTTTTTTGTTTTTGAGACCAAGTTTTACTCTTTTTTTTTTTTTTTTGAGACGGAGTTTCGCTCTTGTTACCCAGGCTGGAGTGCAATGGCGCGATCTCGGCTCACCGCAACCTCCACCTCCTGGGCTCAGGCAATTCTCCTGCCTCAGCCTCCTGAGTAGCTGGGATTACAGGCACGTGCCACCATGCCCAGCTAATTTTTTTGTATTTTTAGTAGAGACGGGGTTTCACCATGTTGACCATGATGGTCTCGATCTCTCGACCTTGTGATCCACCCGCCTCGGCCTCCCAAAGTGCTGGGATTACAGGCTTGAGCCACCGCGCCAGGCCAAGTTTTACTCTTGTTGGAGCGCAATGGCATGATCTCCGCTCACTGTAACCTCCCCCTCCTGGGTTCTAGCAATTCTCCCGCCTCAACCTCCCGAGTAGCTGAGATTACTTACAGGTGCCCGCCACCACACCCAGCTAATTTTTGTATATTTAGTAGAGATAGGGTTTCACCATGTTGACCAGGCTGGTCTTTAACTCCTGACCTCAGGTGACCCACCCGCCTCAGCTTGCCAAAGTGCTGGGAT